ATGAAATTTATATGCATCATTTAAATTAGTAAAAAAAAAGAAGCCTATTGAATTTCAGCAATTTCCGTTAATTACATCTAGAGTTATGACCCTTGTTTCACTTTGTTGAATCTTGTGAACGCTCTAATGACAACAGTTATCATCCGACCTGTTTAAAATTGATATGCATCATTTAAATTAGTGAAACGAAGAAGCCTATTGAATTTCAGCAATTGTTTTAGTTTTTAGAACCTTGTGAAACTTCAAACGACGAAAATTATAATGTCATCTGTATGAAATTGTCTATTAAATGCCCCTAATTACCTACAAAAGAATAAATATGTGACAACCCTTGTCGACTGCACGGACGATTTAGCTGCTGTGGGCGTATGTTTTGTTGCCTGGCAACCTATCTTTAAAATGGAGAGAACTATTCATTTTCGGGAAAAATCGGAAGACCTCGGTAATTTCCGGAAGCCGTCACAAAACTTTTGAATATGCCATTTTGAAGGTATCGGTGTATTCCTTATCCCTACCAAGTTCAACTTGATACCTCAAATAGTGACAGAGATACGCCATCTTGAATGTCGAAGAAAATTTCACAAATCTTTGATGCTAAAACTAATCAAGTAAACTTCCGAATTTCGAAAACCGTCAGTCAGAGCCCATATGGGATTCGTCCAAAGAATCCAAAAATTAAAACTTGAAGAAGATCCGTTGAAAAATAACCGAGATATGGGCAATCTGTGATTATTTTTTTCCCATCCGTAAAACACTTCCTGTTTGTCAAAAATAACCCAATTTATATTTAATGAATAGATCGACGGAGGTCAACCGCATCTACGTTGGCAGAATGTTTGCACCATGTACAGTTTTGGCCCCACACTCTATTCCCCCCCCCCCGCATAAAAAATAATAAAAGCAATTACAGAAACAACACGTATCGGTTAAAATATTCCATTTCTACTGAATCGATTAATAAAGTTTATAATCGTCACCATGTAAAGTGAGGTACGGTTCAATTGACGAAAAATTAAATGAGGCCAATGGGGAATCGCGACTACATTCTTACAATGTAAATGACGAAGCATCTAGGAAATTTCGCAATATGGGACAGACCAGGAACGTGTTGTCTATGCGTTCAGGTAGGACGAATCATGGTACGTAAAAGAATTCCCAAGTAACAATTCGAAATCAGAAGAAATGCGGACAGATCAACATTCGTATCTAAGCCGTAACAAAAATATTTCACAGGAGACTTCGTAGTCCTGATCCACTTATAAATCTACATTTAAGACACTTTCAGAAATCCTGGATACGCCACTACCCAGTGGTATATCCGTATAATGAAGTATGTTCTTTCTTTGCATGGCACTCGCTACAAATTAATACAAATGGGAGCAAAACTGACCATATAGAAGCGACAATACAAAAAAAAAGCAAAACAAAACAAACCAACACCATTTCAAGAGCCAGGGGTTGCTGTTACCGGTAGCATTCTGCAGTAAAAAATTTCTTTGTGTCTGAGGCTTTTCTGTGGAAAGGTATTTCTGGTATGACCTCGAAACATCGGTGATCTGACCAGCTTTGTCGTTAATTAATTCTACATAGAGAGTGCTGTATTTCTGCTACCTTTTGTTCATTTCAATGATCATTTTTAACCTGGTGTCACCAATGCAACTATATCTCCACTCTCGTACCTGTTCGAAGGTTGATGGGACTCTTCTCTAGTAGTTATTTTTGACACGAACGGGAACTTATATACTTTGATTTCTGCCTTTGGCGAACTTTATCTCCTGTAGCTGTCACTCTCATCCCGATGGAAGCTGTGGGGGAAAAGTTTTATCTGTATTGTGTTCTGTCGTTCGCTAATTGTGTTCTGTCGTTCGCTAAATGTACTAGCGCCGAAGAGAAGAAAATCGAGTTAGATTGGAGGTGATCTATCAATGCATAATTGCATTACATTACACCACACTGTAGTTTGATAGAAAGTATTATGCATATTGATTCATCTTAGCTGGATGACTGACTCGAGAAACATGACAATTTTAAGACTTCCTTAATCTTTCCGCAGTTATACAAAATCAACCTATTGGAAACACACACACACTCCATCCCATGCTCATCACCACCACTAAATATATCCCGTTATATTTACCCCCTGTTAAGTAGGGAGTATATCGCATGTTATTATACGAATCAATAATTGTATACTATTCAAAAAAAGTAGGGGATATTTGATTTTGGGGGCATAATACTAAAATATGCAAATGACTACGAAAAAAGTCACTATAGAACCTAACAGAAGAAACATTTCCAGTTACATGTGACGCCCAAACGCACCAGTAGCTACCGCATGGAATGCAGGTGATGCTTGGGATCATCATGGGGGTCCAACCCAAGATTTGCACGACTCTGACTTTGAATGTTACAGTCATTGTGGCATTGAATTTCAGGGTGGAAACATCAGTTTAATTGTTTTAGTGACCAGAAAACAAATTTTGATATGCGTCGGCTTACCCAAAATGAAAGGTTACGTGCCCTTGGCATGCTACAGATCGGCACAACACAGGCGGTTGTGGCGCGGACGATGAATGTTTCTCAGTCTGTCATAAGCAGGCTATGGTCCAGATACCGTGATACACAATCTGTACAGGACAGACCACGCTCAGGTCGACCAAGGGCGACAACTCAAGCCCAGGATCGATTTATCCGTACCTTGGCCTTGAGAAATCGTGTCATCACAGCAAATCAGATCAGCGCTCGTCTTCAAACAGACACTGGTGTGAGAGTGAGTGGCCAGACGATTCGGAATCGACTGCATAGGGGTCACCTTCGCGCCCGACGTCCTCGCGTGATCCCTTGTTTGAGAGATCATCACATTCAGGCAAGACGTCGTTGGTGTAGGGATCGTCAACACTGGGATAATCGACGCTGGAGCAATGTGATGTTTTCAGATGAGTCAAGGTTCACTGTTGATTTTTTGGACAGACGTAGGAGGGTGTGGCGTCGTCGAAACGAGCGCTTCCAAGACGTTAACGTCATCAGACATGATCGATTTGGGGGTGGTTCAGTTATGGTGTGGGGAGGCATCACTGTTGCTGGAAGAACGGCTTTACATGTTGTTGCAGGGCGTGTTACAGGCCAGTACTACCGGGACAACATCTTGGCAGTCCATGTTGTGCCGTTCGCACGACGTCATGGCCGCCGTTTCATCTTCCAGGATGACAACGCAAGATGTCACAGGGCCAGGATCGTTACAGGTTACCTCCAACAACAGAACATCACCACATTACTTTGGCCAGCACTGAGTCCCGACCTCTCCCCCATCGAGCATGTCTGGGACATGCTTGGACAGAGGTTACGTCAACGTCAACAACGTCCTGCCAATGTCCAAGAACTTGCTGCTGCGTTGCAACAGGAATGGGACAATCTGGACCAAAATGACCTTAGACGTCTCATTAGGAGTATGCCACGTCGGATCAATGCTTGTTTGGCAAACAGAGGAGGATTTACCCGTTACTGACTTGGTTGTGATGCTGTGGTAACTTTGCTGTTTGACCCCGGGTATCATTTTACCCTTATAATGGTCAGTCTGTGCCTTACTTAGTCTAACAATCATTTGGAATAAATCGATGAATGTGAACTTCATTTCATTTTGTCATTTGTTTCTTCGTCAGTTTCATTAGGTGACTTTAATAACACTTAAAAATCAAATATCCCCTACTTTTTTTGAATAGTATATATATAGAGGTTACAGAGTTTGGCTACAGAGACTTAGTATCTCGAGCGCTCAAGTTAATTATCTCGAGCGCTCAAGTTAAAGATACATTATGTAAGATTTAGATAAACAACTAGCCATTCTTGCTATAATAGTTCGAAAGTAGATGATATAAAATGAATAATTTGAAATTTCATTCAAATTACTCTATCGCAAGCGAAGATATTAGCCTTTGAAGGTTTGACAGACGTGTGCAATAATTTCAACCACCGTACTGGTTGATCGAAGAAGCTATGTCTCGGTCCTCCATATTTGATTAAATCAAAGTATCGCTGAACCATTCTAATCTATTTAATATCGAAGAAATCTGATGCCATCGAGAGTTGATTAAGGCCTGGATCAGTTCATTAATGTCTAATTAATACTTTAGAACACATTTCAGGCCTAAAGAAAGACCTGCAATAGGCAGATTTAGCTCTTGCATAATGCATGTTTAATTATCTCGAGCGCTCGACTTAGTATCTCAAGCGCTGGACTTAATATCTCGAGCACTCGAGATATTTTTTTTTTTGCGTGTCCTAAATCAGCCATCGTAGCTACCGTATATTAATAGCCCAACAGAAACACAAGCGACACGTATATAATTATGGTGCCACACTCAAGAGTTTATAATTTAATGTGTAGGTCTGAGTCACGCACTGTAGGGTCAAATCATTATATAAAGTTTAATTGAAAGGCTTCGTGTTTGTTATTTTGTTGGAGTATTATTTCATCATTGGGAACGGGGATAATAAATAGGTGTCAGAGTGCTACTGTATTTCATCAGTTTCTACGTTTAGTTAATAATACCCTGTGTTAGGACTAGCCATTATACTCATCTATAATAAAGCAAGTCGCAGACAAGACAATTGTATATTACAATTTGTGATCTATTGGATTATTTCTACAAATACTGGAAACTTCATTCCACATTATCTGGTTGCATTATTCATGTCCAATGAGTAAAAGGTCCAATAATCTGTAATAAACGGCAAATATGGACTTCCAGAACATACAAGGTCCAAAGGGCAATGTCCCCGATTTTGAGTATTTATGGCCATTTAAAGTTATGGCTATTTAATGTTCATATTACCTTCTATTGATTTAATGTAGCCATTATTAATTCCAACCAATCACCTGGGGCGTATCTAAATTCTGTCTCCGATCATTGAGGTGTAGATCATATTTAACCAACGTTTTGTTTGTTTATTTTGTTTTAGGCATCTAAATCACTATCTAAATTGTGTCTTTTTTACTTCAGTTTAAACAAGGGTATTCTGTATTGTCCTATTGATCTTAACCGGATGGTAAGCACATGATTTCGATTTACCGTACTTTAAACTGTTCGAATTAGATTGCCTTCAAAATTTTATTCTCGTGTATCAATCCTTCTGGGAGACATAGACGTTATAAATTCCACTACGAGTCGCACTGGTAACAATTATGAACACGTCTAAAATTTACAATTACCAACCTTATTTTTTTATATAGACACGTCTAAATGGTATTTTAGATTATTTATAGTCCCCCATTGAAATGTGGTCGTATATCGTAATCATTCCTGCCTGTCCGACACTCAAGAAGTTAACGCTACCAGCCAATTGATAAGATTGATTGTCAATGCTTCTCAATAATTAGTGTCGAAGTTATGGCCCTTGATCAATTTAAAATATCTTATAGAGGCTCAAGAGGCTAAAGTTAGTATCAGTAATATATACATACTTGGATTTAAATTTGTTTTTAATAATTCAAAGAAATTATCTTACAATCCTTTATCGAATGCACAGGTATTGACCTATTTAGGATTAAATATTTCTAACCCTCGTATATTGCAAGGCATGCACTTTTATGGGGATGCTCGATTCACAGTCCAGAACGTTACGAATGGACAGAATTGCAATCGAGTAACGCGGAATTCAGTTCTGTCATAGTTCTGTCAGTCTCGACAACGGAGGAGGTGTAAGTAGAATCGTGACGTAATCAAACACAACGAATATGTTTCGGCTGCATGGTTGATTGAGATATTTACTTATTCAGTCGCGACGCATGCGTTGTAGCCCGAAATCCACCTTTTCACTCGATTGTCACTATTTTGGGGATTGAGAGAATTCAATTCCGGAACGTTCAATCGAGTATCACCTATATAATCTTGTATTGAGACAAAGGCAATTTCCGTTAATCACTGATATAATTATTCCCCTTGCTCACACTGAATGGGGATGCTCGATTCACAGTCCCGAATTTACAGTTCTGTCACAGTTCCGTCAGTCCCAACAATTAGAATCGTGACGTAATTAAACACAACGAATATGTTTCGGCTGCATGGTTGGTTGAGATATTTTCTCATTCAGTCGACGCATGCGTTATAGCTCGAAATCCACCTTTTCATTCGATTGTCACTATATTTGTGATTGAGGGAATTTAATTCCGGAACGTTCAATCAAGTACCCCCTTTCATCCTGTGATCGCTTAAACTGAAAATCGCCATCTGATCTAATTGAAATATATCATGTCCATTATATTGTGATAAATACTTTGCAGTTATTGCCCTTGATTATGTTGTAGAATTTTGTCAATTTTTAATATAGGACCCTTCACAAAATAGAATCTTTTGAGAATATAAAAAAAAAATCGAGGGCTTCAATTGCGAACATTCTTAAATGTTGAGTGTTGAGAAATCTGTTCGAACTGATCAAAGTTTTATTAACCCTTTGATGTCCAAGATGGATGTAAACGTGCAATTTCAATCGAAAACCCTCTTAAAAGCTTATTTGTCTTCTTTTGATTGTCGTTTAGAATATTCATCATCAGGAAGATGCGACCTCCACGAACATTCACGAAAGCTGAGCGCTCTCACCATGACCCGTGTTATACAACATCATCATTAGCCGCATTATACAACTTTAGCATTTGCAAGAGCTTACAGATGATGCCATTGAAACAATGTAATCGATGATTAATGAATAGTAATCTCGCATCAAAGATCCTATCACGAATCACAGATCGATATAGCAAGCAGCCAAATCAGTTCCTCTTATTATTATTCATGACGTGAGATCGAATCGGCGAGTCTGGTATAATAAAACTTGGCTAACCCATGATTGGCGAACGACCGTGCATCAAACCACCGTTAACTCACAGACTGATCACCCCCAGATCGTTTTCAAACTCTTTTCTAACCAACCGAAAACGCATCAGCAGCTTTTATTTGTCCTGTTTGGGTAAGTTTTTAGTGAGTTTTTTTTTTTGGTTCATCAATACATGTAATTCGGTAGACAACAACATTTCTCTTTCTGAAATTCTGCCTAGTTCTTTTGGAGAGGTTTATGGTAAGTTATTTATTTATTTTTAAAAGTTATTTTACCCTAAGGTACATTCGATATGTAAAAGTTGTACACGGAAGGGTGCTGCTTGCTAGAACACTTGATACTACTTCATATATTTGGGGTGTTCACATAGCTAAAATATCAGATGTTTATTTTAGAGACACCGAAACACATTTTAAATGTTATGTCAGCTTAAGTTGTAATTAAAATGAGAAATACTTTCAGTAGATTAATATAATTCAAATGACTAGAGCTATTGATTTCTGTCCAAAATAAAACTGAGAATTTCATTTGATTTTACGGGTTCGACTAATCGCCGACAATAACCGGCAAGAGCGTTTCTTGGCAAATAGCGTCCAAAGTGTTGCAAACATTGACCGACAATGTTCCACAGATCGCATCCAAAATTGAATACTTTGATAATGCTACACTCACGCAGTGGCGAATATGGTGGCAAATGGGATTAAGAATGCAATTCGCATGCAATGATCACAATGTGATCGCGACACATTCGTAAAAACTGCCTGTCAATGATAGGACCGTTTTTGTCAAGATTTCAATTATTCATACTTGTTTTTATTTTTTACGAAATCGTGTAAAATATGAATATCTATAACATATATTTCCTAGTCGGCAATACTTTGGACGCTATTGAGAAAAAACACTCTTGTCGGTATTACCGTTTTTTTCTTCAAAATTTCAACTATCCATATATTTTAAAACCAAATCAAGGATGTCATAAAACACCAAATTGTTTTATATGATGTTAATCACAATCCATTACATTGGAGCAGAAATAAACTTCCTCCCCACAAAAGAAATACTAGTAATAATGTATATTTAAATAGCTGCGTCCGTACAGGAATGGCTTTATTCCAAAAGTAAATAGCTATAATTGATGTAGCTGGGAACATTATTTTGAAAACTTATCTTAAAGATACATTATGGGAGATTCGATAACGAGTTGGCAGTTCTCACTATAATAGTTAAAAACTAGATTATCCATTTAATTGTTAAATCGGCTCACAATCCACTTTAGATCACAGGCTAGCGATGCCATCTCGAGTTGATTATGGTCTGGATAAGTTAATTAATGTCTAATTGATAATTTAGATAATATTTCAGGCCTAAAGAAAGACCTGCAATAGGCAGATTTAGCTCTTGCATAATGTATGTTTAAATGAACAGAACATGTTTGATGATTTAGTTTAAACAAAAATTTCCAAACTGGATTGGTCCGATAATTTGTTTCTATTACTCGTGGATCCTGCTCCGTTCAACTAAACTTTCATTTTGGCAGAGTATGCGGAAAACAAATTTATGCCTAAGTTTACTAACTTTGCATACGCCCACATTGAAATGTATTCTTAAATTGTCCAACGCTTCGATCTATTGTTATTGTGCGGCGAATATCCGTATAGTGTGGTGGTTTATAGTGTGCCGGGATTCCGTATATGTTAATAAGTCACGTGATATCCTACATTTGCATATGAAAGTTGATGCTGTGCGAAAGATGCTATGTAGAAAGCGCGAAGGACAAATGGGATGTGGCAGAGGGCAAATGTAAAATTTAATGAGAGAAATGTAAAAAGTAGACACGTCAAAAAAAGCATTTTCTCACAAAATATTTGTCATTTAACACTTAACATTTGACGTTTTACATTTAACTTTTGTTTCACTTTGTTGAATGTTGTGAACGCTCTAATGACAACAGTTATCATCCGATCTGTTTGAAATTGATATGCATCATTTAAATTAGTGAAACAAAGAAGCCTATTGAATTTCAGCAATTTCCGTTAGTTACGCCGTGAGTTATTGCCCTTGTTTCACTTTGTTGTACCTTGTAAATGCTCTAACGACAAAAAGTATTATCCGATCTGTATGAAATTTATATGTATCATTTAAATTAGTAAAACGAACAAGCCTATAGAGTTTCAGTTATCACCTAAATTAGTGAAATGAAGACGAACAAGCCTATTGAATGTCAGCAATTTCCGTCAATTACGTCTAGAGTTATGGCCCTTGATTTACTTTGTTGAATTTTGTGAACTTTCGAACAACAAAAGTTATCATCCGATCTGTATGAAATTGATATGCATTATTTGAATTAGTAAAACGAAAAAAGCCTGTCGAATTTGAACGATTTCTGTAGATTGCTTCCAGAGTTACGGCCCTTGTTTTAGTTTTTAGAACCTTGTGAACCTTCAAACAACGAAAATTATAATGTCATCTGCATGAAATTGTCTATTAAATTCCCCTAATTACCTACAAAAGAATAAATATGTGACAACCCTTGTCGACTGCCCTGACGATTTAGCTGCTGTGGGCGTATGTTTTGTTGTCTGGCAACCTATCTTTTCATTTTCTTAAGCTCTCTTGTCTGTTGAAACCAGCTACACATCAGATTTAAAGAACAACTTCAGATATCAAAATTAAAAAAAAAATGTTTGACTTAATCGAATCTTTTTTTGAAAGCAGTTATTTCTAATTTACAAATAATGCATTTTTGGTTCACTCTATTTAATTTTAAGTCTAACAATTATATTGATGAATCAGGAATTATGTAATGCCATATTATCGATAACCTCATTTGTACTAATTGTAAATACTGTACAAAATATTTTTGATTGTAATTAGTTAACAAGCGGTTGCCATGCAAGATACGCCCACACATTTTGCAAAAGATAGACAGAGATTTCGTGCAATCAAGGGCCACATTCCAGGAAGTTACGATCTGATATTCGCGAATATAGAAAAGAACTGAGATATTTCGCAATTAAGCACATATTTGTCAAAGTCGGACAAAAATTGTGACCTCTGAAGAGTTCACAAGCTAAAAACTCGATTTTTCGTACAGCCAGGTGCCATAATATAGGAAGATACGGTCTGATATGCGCGAATATCGAAAGGAACCGAGTTCTTTGGGATATAAACATATATTTTAAGTTTATAATCGAATAAAAAGAATTTTACACTATTTA